ATAGTATGTGAGTAAAATAAAATAAAAGATGAGAGATAATTATTTTTAATTGTACAATTAAAATTAAAAAAATTAAAAAAATATAAATATTAATTATTTTATTAATTATTAATTACTTTTAATAATTACATTAAAATAAAAACTAAACTGATTATTTGACTCTTAACCAATGTACATGGTGGCCTAGTCGTCTGGGCAACTAACATTTTGTGGTCTCGCCTGGACAGAGAAAAAAGATCCCGTTTCTTTCATCGTCTTGCTTTCCTACCATATAAGTCTACTTCCTTTATTGCAGAACAGGGAGAGCTTAACAAGAACAAGAACCATTTCTTCCTTCATAAATTCTTCATTTGTGTCTTTTTTTTTTTTTTTTTTTTTTACCTTAAAGCTCCACTATTCAGCCCTTTATTTGCTAGTTGTAGCTTTTTTACCTCTTGATCAGGTATTATTCTGTTCTCACTCTTTCATCTGCAAAGAATCATAATTTTCTTAGCATAATTTTCTTCGTTTTACGTATTGATTTGTCCCTGAAATCCAATCTCCATTGCAAAATTCGTTGAAGTTGATCTATCTGTACTTATGGATTCTTTTTTTTGATCGGCCTGTACTGAATGATTCTGTCACTGATTTATATATTTTTTTTATTTTTTTTTTATTTTTAATTTGGATCTGCTAATTGTTTGTCTTTGATGATGTTAAGAGGATTGAAGGAGATAATTTGATGCAAAAAACTGATGTGTCTGTTCATATCATAGATAGAATCTCTGCCTCAAATCTCCAAGTTCAGGATCACCAACTCCTGGTCAACCCTGACCAAAGATCAACCTGTTGAATCATTTCTGGATTGACCTGTTAAGATGTTAATGTTAATTGTCTCCTCTTTAGTCGTTCGAAATTCTGAATTTTAACAAGCAACTATGTTCGTGGAACTCGGTTTTCTTCTGTGAATTAGTCCTTGTGAAGTTTTGTTTGTATTTGTTAACTTGATATTATCTCCTTTGGCAGCAAACATGTTTCTTTGGAGAAAGCACTCTCACGATGACCACCAGGTGGATGAGTCTCAGCAACGAGATGCCAAGGTATTTTGATCAAATAAAATTCTGGTTTAAAGTAGCAATTAATTTATCATCATCACTTCTCAAAGAAGATTGTCAAAATCTGTTTGTCCCTTTGGCATCAACTTGATCAGCTGAATACTCTGTTGATTTTCAGATCAGTGAACTTAGAACTGCTTTAGGACCGTTGTCTGGGCGTAGTTTAATGTACTGCTCTGATGCATGCCTGAGGAGATACTTGGAAGCTCGCAATTGGAATGTTGACAAGGCAAAGAAAATGCTGGAAGAGACACTAGAGTGGCGATCAACTTTTAAGCCTGAAGAAATCCGCTGGGTATGTCATCTGAATTTTGCTTACCACATGCATCACTGATCTACTCTATACACTATAGCAGTTTGCAAGTCTGTGGACAGTGGGCAAACACGCCTGTATCATGTCATGCTTTGATCTACAGAGTCGACTTTAGGGTTTAACTTGATATGCTTATTCCAAATGCATATAATGTTAGAAATGTCTTATGGTGGTCTGAGGTGCATATGGTTAAAAAGGCTTTGGTCTGAACCACCTTTTTCATAGTAGGCTTCTATTTCTGCTTTCCTGAACTTACCTCATCACTTGTCCCATCCAGCATGAAGTAGCACATGAAGGTGAGACTGGAAAAGTTTCCAGGGCAAATTTTCATGATCGTCAAGGAAGGACTGTGCTCATAATGAGGCCTGGGATGCAGGTTTGTTGTGGGATTTTGTTCAGTATGTCAGTCATCACCATGCTTATTGTAACCTGACATTGAATTTTTGCTATGTTTTTGGCAGAATACGAGGTCAGCAGAAGACAATATCCGCCATCTGGTTTACCTTTTAGAAAATGCTATCCTGAACCTGGCTGAAGGTCAGGAACAAATGTCATGGTTGATAGACTTCACTGGATTTTCGTTGAGCACCTATGTTCCTGTCAAAACAGCTCGTGATATAATTTACATTCTTCAGAACCATTATCCCGAGAGACTGGCCATTGCATTTTTATACAATCCACCGAGGATTTTTGAGGCCTTTTGGAAGGTTAGTTCCAATTTCTCCAGAGTATTTAGTTCTCGAATTGTGGCCATTAAGGTTACAGGATCAACCTATCGATATCTTTTGAATTATATTATCCTTCCAAGAGCTTTTGTCTGTCACTTCATTAAAATTATGCTACTTCCAACTTCTACAGGCTGTCAGGTACTTCTTGGATCCAAGAACAGCTCAGAAGGTGAAGTTTGTTTATCCTAAAAACAAAGAGAGTGTGGAGCTTATGAGCTCTCTCTTTGATGTTGAGAACCTACCTGCTGAGTTTGGAGGTAAAGCCACCCTAAAGTATGACCATGAGGAGTTCTCGCGTTTGATGGAACAGGATGACTTGAAAACAGCCAAGTTCTGGGGAATTGATGAGAATCCCCACCCCATTGCTAAGGGGATTTCAGGGGGAGTTGAGGTGGCATCTGAACCAGCACCCTTACCATGTCCAGCTGGCTGAGTGAACCTGCCTATTTGCCAAAGTGGTCTGCCGGGAACTAGGATATGCAGAATACTAAGAGAATAAATAAACTGATATAGGTTTCTCATCAAACTTAAACAACTGCTGATAACTGCAATGATAGGTAGGTCCTTGCTCAGGAGTATAATCATTCGTTCCGTAGTCCGTACTCCACCCCTTTGATATAAAATTTATTGCTTATTTAGTACATGTTCTCAATGCCATGTCAAAGGTAGTGAATTTTAGTGTCTTAGATTAGATTTTGTAAGATAACAAACTGCAATGTGTGTTTAACTATCTTTTCTGGGTACATAAAGAAAACTTGTGTTTGACGAAACATTAGTAAGCATAGGCAACATAACTTTTGCTGGAGATAAGATATAGCATTGCTATGGAAGTAGGTTTCACAGAAAAGGGAAAACAAAAGAAAGCAAAACACGTCAATTTATGATGAAGGATTTCATTAAAATTGCTAGGGCTGTAGAAAAGATGGGAGTCAATGATAATCGATCACACTACAGGTTTCTCTTTCTCAAGAAATGAGATACTCCAAGATGCATTCATTTGGACCAAGATATGAAGAGACATAGTGCATATGCATTATGGATATCAACATAACATCACAACAGATCCACGTCTTACTGCATTCAACAGCTGCTGTCATTTGTACTGTACAGAGGCACTCTTGGTCAAAGTTCATTGGAATAGAGGCACTCATCCACAAGTTGGCGAAGATTAGGATTCTCCAGAGCAGCTGCAACTCTTTCTTTATCATTCAATTGCTTGTTAACTGGAGAGAAAGAGAGTGCAGATTTTCAGCATTAAATTAGGGAAAACAGCAAATCAATTGACAACATTGGAATAATGTTTTGCATGCTAATATTTAATAACAAGCAAGTTTTGACAAAGAATCGACCTTTGTGAATCAAAGCAAGTTAAGATTCCATAGCTTTGATAGAAGAAGGCCACATGGCTGTTCTAGATTTACTCTATTACACGCAAGAGTTTTGATGGAGACTTGATCTATGGCTCTGACAGGAATTATCTCAGGGTCAAATGGCTGTGCTAGATTTGACTCAAATTAGGGCTGACCCTCATTATCCATTAATTATTTTGCCATTTCAGAGTAGAAAAATTTTAATTTTTAGTCAAAAACAAAGCTACTAGATACCAGTATTGCCAAATCCAGCCAACTAAAATTCCATCAAAAGAACACTGCCTAAATGTATTTACAGAGACATATTCCAGCATCCTATGTATTATTGTGCCATCACTTTCCTTATCAACTAACATCAACATAGGATTTAATCATAAAACAGTGATGAGAGTATAAGGTTAAATATTTTGATGGTATCCAGTTTAAATTGTATTAATGATCAAGATATGTCACAGTCGTGGAAGGCATCATAATATTTTACATACATAAAAAGACTTAATAAATCTTGCAATTTCACCTGATTCTTCGTTAGCATGAGATCCAGGAGCTACTTTAATGTCAACCTGCAGAAATAGATAATTAAACACAGATGATTGTTAGTGATGATTAGACAACAAGGACAACCTGGATCTCTCAATTCTCAAACTTAACTTGGAAACTACACGCAAAGAAGAAGGAGGATAGCTAAGATCCTATTCCTACATATTTCTTCAATCTCAACATTTCTGATGATTCGCCCATGATCAGACCATGGATGTCCCTTCGGAGTTGCGAAACAACCAGATTCAGGAAACCACTCCACATGGCCAAAATGCGACTCATAATATGTAACATGCATGATTTCATAATGACCCAGCAAATTAGAAAGTAAAAAACAGACCATGGCTACCATTGCAACCCAAGGCAGGTAAAACGAGCACTATACACATTACATTTTTACTAATTCCAGACTCAAAGGGTAAAAAATAAAGCAGGATTTAATTTATGCCTCAGATGATCATTACTTTATGAATCTATGTAAAGTGTAAATAAGCTCCAGGTTCAAAAGAATCTTGAGGCAAAGGCCCTGACTGCAATTTGTTAACTTTTCTCTATTTAAATAAAATAAGTAAAAATTTGAGCCAACAATACAACCAAGCAACTCTTGTAAAGAAATGAACTCAATTATCAAAAGGAAAATAAAAGAATCCAATGAAGAGTTACAAAATTCACCAACTAATGCAGCACAGACTGCAGAGACTGACCTTAAAATGAGGAGGAAAGCATTCCTTTAATTTAACCCTGAGACACAGACCAATTACTGTTGCCATACTGCAATGCTGGATGGTGGGAGTGAAAGTTATCCTGAAACAATTTATGGTACTTTAGCACTGGATATGGCAGCCATAAAATGATTAAAAATAGCACCCAATTAAGCTCAAAACAGCCTTAAAAAAAAGTTGAATTATGCATTCCACAACAAGATCATTCTCAGAACAAGGGATTTAGATCTCCTAAAAATAGTTCCGAACAAAAAAAACCCAGAAATGGAATCTCAACCTAGGAATAATTAGCAGAATGATTCCAAAAATACTCCAAAACACAAACATATAAGTATAACTATGATGATACTTACAAAATACGGCCAAGCTTCTCATCAACTGTGATTGACTCCTCTGAGAGAACACTAAGCTGCTCCAATGAATATGGGTGCTCTGGATCTCTTATATCCCTCACAAAATTTACACTTTCAGTCAAAGATCAGAACTTTTTCTTTTCATATCATCAGAAACAAACATTAAAAAAGAAAAACAGGAAAAGGAAAAGTTGAAATCCAAGTAAAAGCTAAACCAGTCGAAGTTCTAAACTTGTATTTGATTAAAATCCAGGGATTGAAATTTGAAAAAGAAATAAAAGGATATCATAAATTTCGAGAGGGTCAACGGCGTCGTCACCGTGAGGAGGATCTTCGGTGCGAGCGACCCTTTCCTTCTTGGCGTGAACGACGGGGTTGGCATTGATCAAACCCAGAGTCATCTCTGTTTCTTTCTCCCTGTCTCTGTTACCACCATGTCCCTTCTCGCAAGACCCCCGATTATCTATAAATTGTACAAGTAGTTAATTAGTACTGCTATAATTTATACCGTGTAGCTGACAGAGGTCTTAAAAACATTGATTATGGATTTTCTTGTCATGATCGCACAGGGCCATGTCACTTCCCATTGTTTCGTTTATTTTCGCAATAAAGGCTAATTGTGCAGTGGATGGGATGACACGGTTTGGTTTCATTCTATTCCACTACAAATTTTTTTTATTTTCAACGGTTACAACCTTTGAGGGCAGGTTTTATTTATTTATTTATTTATTTTGATTACAGAATGAAAATTAATTATTTGTTATTTTTTATTTTATTATATTTATATATTAAATTATTTAAATTTAAACTTTTTTAGTTTTAATGACAAAAAAAATTAATTCCTTAGTCGAAAGCAAATATTAGAAACCTAATTTTTGGGTTAAAAATACATTTATAACAAGAATTATAATTATCGATTAAGAAAATTAAGTGTCATTGTAAATAAAAAATTATTAGGCAGAGAATGATAATTTCTAATAATAAGGGGTATTAACTTCTTAAGAGTTTTTTTTAGGTGTATTTAATATTTTAATTATAATT